AGTTTAACATATTACAAGTGTATTTGGTTGTCTTTTCTTCTCAGTAACAGGTGCGCACGAATAAACTTTAAAAATATTTCGGGGACCAAGAGGGAGATGAGAGGGCACCTAAAAAGGTGGATAGATGATAATATAGAGGAGCATTAGCAGGATACGAATGGAGAAAGAAAGCCGTGGATAGAGATATTTGGAGAAAGCTGGAGGAGAGCTTTACCCGTGAAGGGGTTCCGATCAATGGCACTGAAGGAAGTTAGGATAACCAGAAAAAAAATGTATTTATCAATCTAGACTATACATTGGTAAAAATTGGCAATAAACGGGCTTTATTGTTATTATTTCCGAAACATGATTTTAGTAAAGAAAATTCATCTAGTAGTATGCTTAAAATCTAATAATCAAATTATACTGTTAAATACGTTTTTAATTTGTTGTGCTTTACAAACTAAATTAGTCTACCAACTACAATTAAAAGGCAAACACTACGAAATCCTGCAACCACCCTGAACATGTGGCAGCCACATTTCTGCGCCTTTGTTATTCATCGATTTTCTATAGATTGTCGTAGATCTGACACGTTGTAAATGTTTGACCATTAAAATAAAAAATCCAGTTGTAAACCACAATCTCAGACACTCACTTAACAGCTAGGCTGAGAGTTGTCTGACGTGGAACGGACGATCAAGTAACCAAAGTTTTGTAATCTTTATTTAATCAGCGTTAAACTTACGTTATAGAGCAGAGTTGGCCTAGTGGCTTCAGCGTGAGACTCTCATCCCTGAGGTACCTTGTAGGTTCGATCCCCGGAGTGAACCAATGGATTTTCTTACTATGTGCGCATTTAATATTCGCTCGAACGGTGAAGGAAAACATCGTGAAGAAACTGCATTGAAATGTGTCAGGCACAGGAGGCTGATCACCTACTTGCCTATTAGATTGACAAATGATCATGAAACAGATACAGAAATCTGAGGCCCAGACCTTTTTTAAACTTACGTTGTAATGCTGCATTGAGCTCACGCAACTAACCCAAATGCAATAAATCGCTAAGCCAATTTGTTGCATTGAAACACGTAAAACGACGTATTAAAAAGCGATGCGTTAGTTTTAATTGAATAAGTGCATGGCGACAATAAGTCAGTAATCTGCCAACGAACAGCTGGAGCATAACTCACTCGACCCGGCGCCGCTCGCGTCCGTAATTGAAAATAAACAGTGGACACGAGACTCGTGATTTATTAACGCTTATGTGTACACGGTGACCATGATTATAGCCTTTTACTGGACGAAGGTGGGCGTCTCTTAAGACGTAACTTATTTTATTTTAAGATCCCATTTGTATGGGTCAAGTAAATGTATACATTTTTTTGATTTATATGGGTAACCTATAGTATACTATGTCACACTGATAGTTCTCTCTCTATTTGAGATTTTTAAAAAACAGAGGGCAAATGGGCAGGAACCTCACATGATGTTAAGTAATACCGCCGCAAATGGACACTCAATGCCAGAGGGCTCCGTTGCCGGGTTTTTAAGAATTGGTACGCAAAGGACCCTCAGTGGAATTGGTCTGGAAATACGTTGGATGGCAGCTGGTTTCACATTTCACACAGTGGTGGTGCGCGGCAAAAACTGCCTTAAAAAACGCTCAGTTGTGGAACGACGGACGTCGAGGTGATACGAAAGTTCGTATTCTACCTCGACGTTCAATGATGAAACTCAGCTGCAGGTATTTATCCGAACAACTCTGTCACTCTCCATGGAAAATTCGGTAGAAGATGCAGAGTGACCCCACATCTCTACGCAACGCCAAAGGAAGAAGCCGCTCGGAAAGGGATAGTTCGTCGACGATTCGAACCGCTGAATACGGAAGAGTGATTTGTATTTTCAAAAACTTATGAATTATTATTGGATATTAACATACCCTTGCTGTAATTGTGAAATGTGAATGACACTTTTTATAGACTTTAAAGACTTTAGACTAGAAAATCTTAAGAATTAAGTGTACCCATAATATGTACCCATAAACATTCCCAACATTATAGCTCATGCTCTATTTTAATTTACTTTTTCAACACCGAGGTTTACACTTATATAACATAGACAATTTAATAAGAATATAATTTTACCTATTCTAGAATATTGGCTACCTGTAATGGGTCACTATACTATCCCAGAAATCGAAAATTTATGGAAACTACGTGGTTGTTGATCAGCCTTCATTACACCGCGATGGATGGCTTCATTTAAATCTAAAATTTATATCTCCTTCCGCGATTGGATGGTTCAAAATATACCGAGTGACCTATGTGTAATTTATTTACGGAGATTATCATAAGCTTCCTTCACTAGTTGTCAATTACGTTACATTTAGAAAGTAGAAATTCGTTATTATGTAATTTTTGGATTTGGTTTACAGGTTCTGTACCAATTACCATAATACAATACATATGGTACTACTTCCAACTTTGAATTGGTTGCCTTTGGAGTGGAGAGTCTTGGATCGTGGGGTTCAAGTGCACAGGCGCTAATTAAAGATTTAAATCGGCACCTGGTAGATAGTACCGGTGCCCCAGAGCTGGTGTATTCCTCGCTCAACGTTTAAGTATCGCAATACAGTGAGGAAATGCTGCAAGCGTTAATGGCACACCATTATTCATTTATGAATATTGTAAATATTGTATATATGTATGTTGGAAATACTACTACAAATATATGGTTCAGAGCATTTTGAGATAATGGTATGAAATTCATTGCAAATTTTTTGGCCTTGTCCTATTTCTGTAAAATTTACAAAATATTGCACATATATTATTTTGAAAGTTATGAGCTGAGTGGCCTTATCGCTCAGACAGAAGCAAAATGATTATGTAATAAAATAATAATCTTAAGAGTTCAAATAGTATTAAAATAGTGCCGTAGCATTCACACACACCTCCGGTGCTAAACGCTACTTTTACAATCGTTCAAAAAGCACGATCCGAATAAAAAACTTGGTGTGATAGATGCCCCGGGACGTCCATTGAAAAGCCGTTGTTCAAGTTTTGAAACTGCCACAATTACGCCCATTGTGCGTTGCTTTTAGCTTGCAGCGAGTAATTACACTTAGATAACTATCTTTGGTGTAAGAATGCGGCTGACTCTCTACGTCTTGAGGCATTATCCACATCAGTAAGTACTTTGTAATTATTGTAAAGACATGCTTTCCACCATGGACGTAAGTTTTGCGTAAGGATGTGACTGAAGCAAGTGTCGCAGATAATATAAGACGAATAAATACTTTATGCTTTAGTGGCGCTCTTGTCAAAAATATATTGTTCGGTATTTTTTTTATTAGAATATAAATAAAAACTCTTCTACTTATTATTTCCTAAAGTCATTAAATTCAAAATGTATATACGAGTATAACTAGCAGACTACTAGAGAACCAAGCGTTGCTGTGGCTAAGGTTTTTGTTATATTACATAGTAGTAAACTATTCAAGGGAAACAGAAGGAGAACACCAGTCATGGGGACCACCATGCTTTTTTGGTGGTTATGCCTTTATAACAGCGCCATCTGTTATAATTGTGACTGTCAAATAATAAACAAATAATTTGCAATAAAATAATATTGTGAGTATAAAATAAGATTTAAGCTAACCTATCTTTTAACTTAGATCAAACTGCACTCGGTGTGCAAATTTGATTGAAATCGGTTAAGTAGTTTAGGAGTCCATAGCGAACAAAGACCGTGACGCATAATTGATATATATTAAGATAAAATCTCAAGCCTTCCTAACATTCAGTATTTTGGCAATTACAAATTTTAACTTTAATAAGTAATATCAAATCAGTAGAAATAAATATATATTTTTACAACATGTATTGAAGGCTTTTTTGATCATTAATAAATAAATCAGATATCAGAAAATCTATCTCAAAATAAGCTTTCGGGTGAAACGATTCAGAACGAAGCTAAATTCTCAATTATCCGGTCTATTCGGAAATCACGTTACCATTACAGGCTGCGTACTTCTCACGGGTGCCGGCCAGTTAGTGCCCAGGGGAAGTAACTATTAGATGAGGCAATTTATCAAAAAGCCACACGATTTAGCAAAGGCTCGTTTCACACTGACCACTCACGAAGTCAAGGTTTATAAAAGAAGTGAAAAGACTGCATTATAACACTTTCTGACTTCATGAATTCGTTTATTTATTAATGTTTTTTTTAATATTTGGAGTATAAAATACATAATAGAAAATACAGTGGCTGTCGTTTTCGCTGTTTCTTTTACTACTAATAAAATTAACCATACCATAAGTACATTACAAATTATATTCGTATTAACTGGAACAATAACAAAATAGCAAAACAAATTTAATAGCTACTTAAAGCCTACAATTGTTTATGAATAGAGCTCTCAGTGTTCTTACAATAAAAAGCCAAAATATCTACCATAGACAGTCTAGGTTACTGTGGCCGTGTGCCTTAAGCCAACAATATTTTCTACAAGCGTTAACTTCTATTGCAATAATCAATTGTCAAATTCACATTAGCTGGTCAAGTGACACTTTTAAAACAAATTTGATTGACACACAAATGGATTCTCTAATTAGGAGATACGAAGGTATTTTTGGACGATTTTAATTTAATGTTCTACCGGACATCTATTACGTTAAAAAATATAATTATTAAGATAAAAATTCACGATTTTCAAGTGCCGCATCCATTGTAACCGCCCATCATTATCATTACCGTATCTAGTAAACTATAGCCCGGGGCTTATAAAAAGTATAGTCTATACACAATCGAGCAATTTGCTGCAACGAGTGTTTTATAGCAATTTAGCGGTTATTTCTCCATATTAGCCACTTTTAAAGGCCAACAAAAGAAAGACGTGAAAACGCTTTAAAGGTTAGGCTTGTTATACATGGTCTTGCCATTCGTGGATAGCAAATATATATGAACATTTTCTTGTATGGAATCAGGGTGTTGTCCTAATCCTTTGTCTTCTTAAAATGCTATTTATTTTCACTTAAGTATTGAAATATAAGTGCTGTGTGTATAGAGAAAATAAAAAGCATGCGAATGCGACACCAGGGCTTAGTTGAGAACACTTCTTGGCCCCTCACCACCGGATTTGACACCTCCAGACACAACCCCAGGACCGAGTCGAGAGTCAGTCCTCGGTCCTCACAACAACAAGACATCTGCTGCGCGCTGCGAGTCGATCTCTCTGTCTCCTCGCGCGCTGCAGCCATCTTGAAGGGATAAAAGACGTCCACGGTACCGCCCTGTATTAGCACACCGTCCGAATGGGGCATACGCCCCTAACGGGTCCCCCTCGCGAGGGTGGGACAAGATCATCGAAGATATAGGGTATACACAAATAGTTTTCAAAAATAAGCGTAATCATTTCATTATAAGTTTGTTTACCTGAATTCGATTGGTTATAAAGTAATGTCTTACCTGAAAAAGAAGAGGAATATTAGTCGAGGAGATTATGGTATATATTTAAAAATCAACTTTTAACAATTTGATAAATATTTGCAGAATTTGCAACTAGAACCTTAAATTAAAATTGGGGGCTTACAATAAATGTAAATGTTATGAGAATAAAACAATTGTACAAGTTTAATCTTTTACAATTAATTTATTTCACTAAGTAAACATTCGGAATCCGAACTCAATCAAGAACAAAAAGTCTGCGAAAAATCTTTTAAAGCCAAAGCAAAGCGCGATTTGACCGAAATCAAATATGGACACAAACCCAAAAGACAAACAATGAACAATGAAATGTTCAACAATTCTTGACCCTTTTTACCAAGTCTGCCCAACGGCCGTCCGCTAAAACGATTACATATTCTGATGCAAATATTTCTTAGGCTCCAGGCGAGAATTAATTGAAAAGGACTCTCGACAATGATTTATGATTCTTAGCTACGGCTCAACTTATGATGGTTCATCAGAATTTGCTTGTTAGATGAATTCCAACCTTATCTTGCAAACAATAAGGTTTATTTTTGACCATATTAATTGTGACGAAACCTCTAAAATGATAAGTTTTAATTGTGGGGTAGAAGAAATTTAGTATTGCATAGATCGTTTGTGTGATTGCGGCGTGGGTGTCGACAGGAATTGTGTTATGATTTACATGTGATTTCAGCTCAAACTAATCTTAGTAGAATTTCGCTTTAAATTCTTGCAATAAATCGTCGACGATATTATAAAGCTCACATTGAAAACGCGTTAACTTAAGAATCAGAACATGAGCCATAACGTTTCAGTAGAAATGGAAAGTGAGTTAGTAAAATAGAAAAAGTGGATTAAGGTAAAAGCAATTACAGCTTTAAGTACATTCATCCTTTCAGAACTATACCAACTGCTCCATTAGAAGTAAGAGGCACGTGGAAACAGGCATAAGCTTAATATCTGACATTCCTACAACGGCCAAAATAATGAGACCCGTGCCTCATGGCCACACCGCCAAAAATTCACAGGGTTTCCTAATACAGCGCGAGGGGTGGAGGCTCAAATACAATTGGTGGTTTCATACAGGGTATCCTAGTTACGAGCGACGATAAACTTTGCGTTTCGTGAAGAGCAAGACCGTTTAAATTGTCGGCGCTTGGCGTTGCTAACCTTACATTCTTAACATGTTTGTATGGTTGGCATATTCATTTTTAGTTAACATTCAGCTGCTGCTGGACTTTTTTTTTGTTGAGAATTCAGTAGTCAGGTCTTAAAACTAACAGTATTAATGAATAAACAAGTAGCTTAATTATAAAAAACAATGTTTTAATAACAATAGATAACAAACAACACAAAAATGACGTTATTAAAATCGTTAACTAGTTTTAAACACAAACATTGTCACTTAAAACATTTTTTATACATTTTTTCGCGTGTAAAACCACCATTAGCACTGTTGTCACTCAATAAGTACCCGTAAACGAACTAATTGCAGACAACAATTTGTCAACTTGTATCAGAAATCTTAATTAAATTGTCTGTTGCGTGATTGGGTCATGCTAGAAAAAATCGCGTGTCACTGATATGTACTTTATTAATGTTGTTTTGCTTTCGGAATACTACGATACGAAAATCACCAACAAAATAAATTTACATACATTAGATTTTTTACTTGCAACAACTATGGGGTTAAGAATAAACAACGTAAGAAGAAACGATTGCTTGGGTCGACTGTGATTGGTCAAAAGCATCTCTGCCACATTTACCGCAGAGAGAGGAGTTGTTTAGATTAATACCTGCAGCTGAGTTTCATCATCGGACGTCAAGGCAGAATACAAAATACCATCCGTATCACCTCGTTTCACAACTGAGCGTTTTAAGGCAGTTTTTGCCGCGGACCACCACTATGTAGAACCAGCTGTCACCAATGTATTTCCAAACTAATTTGACTTAGGGTCTTTCAAGAATAGTGCGTAGCAATTCTTAAAAGGCCGGCAACGCACTTGCGAGCCCTCTGGCAATGTGAGTGTCTATAGGCGGCGGTATCACTTAGCATAAGTTGAGCCCGTTTGGCCTTTGTTATCAATGCTAAATTACGCAACGTTTCGTCTTGCGTTAAAGTCCCCATCCAAAAAATCCAACTTCTCTCCTGATGCATCGTTCTATGTTTAGCAACAAATCCTCAATTTATTCAACTCTTTGCAAACCATACATTAAAACAAGTATTTTAATCAAGAGAATAAATGTAGCAATTAAATAAGTGATTATCGTGCACTATACCCATCGTACATTACAACGCAAGTAGACACCCCTGCTTCGGGATGAGGAAGGGCAGAGGGGGCCGAAATTAAACATTTCGGGGATCTAACGGGTTACGTGTGCCGCTCTAAGTACCTAGACGAGGGATTAAGTAGACTAGAAGTACTGTTAGAAAGTCTATTGCAAATAGAAGCGCACCACATTTCAATAGACTTGAAATTTGTTGCTCTTAATGTGACTCTTTCGCTGACAATGATTGCTGAGAAACGACAAACATTAAAACTATAGTGGAAATATTATGTTTCAATTATGCCTGTAAAAGAAGTGTAAATATGTATACCTAATTTATTTTCAAAACTGTTATTATAATTTATGTAAATGAGAAATATTTATTTTCAATAACTGTTTACAAGTAAAAGTTACGATTAATTTAAATTTAAAAGTTATTAAAGTAGTCCTCAAATTATACAATCGATTTATTTCCAAAACACAAATATACAGTATTTACAATATTCTCAACCTACATAGTAATAATAATAATTATAAATAGAAAATTAAAACAAATTTTAAAAGTTTGGTCCAGTGTGTTGTGTTGTGTGTGTTTGGTGGCAGTGTACCTTTAATGCTGGCTTTTCCTCACTGTATTGCGATACTTATTCGTTGAGCGAGGAAAGGACCTGCTATGGGGTCACCAGTACTATCTACCAGGTGCCAACTTAAATCTTCAATTAGCAAATATGTATTTGAAGCCCAAGAGTCTACTCCGAAGGGAACATAATCAAAGTCAAATTACTATATTTTACGTTGAAATTTACTATTTTTTATTTCTATACATATTATCCAACAAATACAAAAACTCATTATATTCTAAAATATAGCGGCAACTGACTGGTATACCTCATCTAGTCTCTCTATACCAATTTAAAGTAGGCTATATTTGCATGTTCATTTCAGGAGTGATATTAGAAATTCAGATTTTACAGTTTATGTGTGTACTCTTTAGTTTTTATTGCTCTGGGTGCTTTTATGACATGCATATCTTGTATAATGTAGATTATTCATGTATTTTTAAATATCTATTTGAACATATTTCACAATAATACCAATTTTTGATTCTGCAAATCTCATATTTTCTTCAAACATTTTCCTATATATTGATGTACTCGTTGTTTTAGTTCTTTATTTTATAAATTTTCTTGATACACTTACAATCACTCCCTGTCTTACACCACTTGCCGTCAATTGCTGGGATGTAGCAGGTCCTCCTCTACTCTGTCGATCTGTCCTCTGCCCAAGGCCCAAGCGTTTAAGGTACCTGAGCCAATGTAGTCGAAGGGCCTACAATTTTGGGCCGGGCTTCCTTGACAATTTTTTTATTATTTATTTACCGAAATTTATTCTCCAAATAAAAGGTATTCTGTTCTACAAAGACGAGGATTTTACTACACACAATTTATAATTTAAGTTTTCCTAGATACCTAATTTCATACAAAACGGATAATACCTGTTTGAAACGACCCAAAATACAATTATACGACTGAGTGGATTTTGAATTCATAACTACCAAACGGGTCTCGTGAGTTTCTCGTTAGATCATCAAATTAATTGATCAGTGACCGGGAAACCTTAACGTATCGTGCTAAGAGGTATATAGGACTACCCTTAAACACTTGATTGATTTGAATTTCGAATTATCGAATTTAACGGAAATCTAATTCTAACCTTAGGCATAATTGTACGTGGGGTGTATTTTTGAGCAAATATAAACCGAGAAATTATTGTTAGTAAGAATTGCTTCAGAATTCGTTGTTGCCGTTGTATATACACATATAGTGGATGCGTTGCCGGCCTTTGTGGCAGGAGTAGGTATACTCTTTCTATTCGATTCACAATCAAATATTTTTTTAAATATAACCTCCAAAAATTACTAAGAAGTATTAAATTGCAATATTTATTTTTGTATTAAGAACTCAATTTACTCATATATTATGTTTGAACAAATTCCGTGCCCCATTCTTTTTATTTCACAAAGGCAATTTCGTACGCTAAACATAGAAGGTTTTTCTAAGTACATATCTAAAAACCTCACACTTACACGAAATGACCGTACTAATCTGCTAGAATCAGCGAAAATGAAGGAAAATAAAATTGTTTTAATATATTTAGCACATCAGTAAGAATGACCATCCAAACCAATTATGTGTTATGAGGCATTAACAATAAACAGGGGTCCGTTTACCCTCGAAATCACCAAGCTAAACCTGCTGTCATTCTAGACAATTCGTACGCAAACATTCTTACAATATTTAAACCGGACGATAAAATTTCAATCGTATTGCGATTTAGAAAAGCTCAATTTTAATTACACAGCAATTTTCACGACAATTTGCTATATTTTAACCGATTTTAAACCCTATTCCATGGTGATACCTTCCGTAACGCGACAGGCATTGAATATTTTGGCCGATTTGAAAAGGAAACTGACCGTTGTTAATTCAAAGGGGACACAAAATAATACTTTTGCTAAACAAAATTGTTGATGTATAAAATTGTTTTATTAATTTATCATTGATTTTTAATGTAATTAGAACTG